ACATCAGGAAGAATAGCTAATGCTCATGCTAGTGCTCATGTGGATCACACTAAATACATACATCTTGGATTCTCTCTGAAGGAGAACATAAAAGTGAACAAATATTATTTCCTTGTTGCTATGCATATATTCTGTGACCTAAATACCACAGACTGGAATTGACTTGGGTGCTAATTAACATAAATGCACATTAATATATGTAAGAGGAAAGCAGTGAATATTTATTTTGTAATCTATGAATATCTTTTTTTTCTCTTCCTCTCTCACCTTCCCCGTTGTCTCTTTCTTGTTTCTAGGCGTCTTTGTTTTTCTCTCTTTCTTCACTCGTTCAGCTGGAGGAGCCAAATACTCCGGTGGGAAGGGCATCTGCCCGACACACGCAGGGCCCCAAACATCAAATGAACACACAAACACACATGCATGGCAACATTACAAGACAGACACACGAAAAAATACAAAGAAAAATGAACAATGCAACGACAGTGGAGCCATAATAAACACCGAATAACACCAAATGAAGATATAAAAACGTATGAATTAAATGAAAAAATAATCAAATGATATAAACAAATTAAAACACAGATGTCTGCTGATGAGGACAGGGCAGTGGCAGCAATGTTCATCTTGCTGGCCGCACTAAGATATAAGAAAGGGAGATGGAAACTCACGGTGTTGAGGTAAGGTCCAGAGCCTGAGGACTGCAGGGGGTTCACACCAGAACGGGACAGCAGGGAGAGATGAGGGGAGGAGGAAGATGGGAGACACGCTCCAGGATTACTTCTTCTTCTGAAAAGAGTACATGAGAGATTAAGAGAAACTCAGTGTGGCAGAAAGGGCATTCACAGTGCAATATGTTTTCTCACAGTGGTCCATTCGGTTCAATATTTAACACCAAGTCAGTGAGTGAGTATAAATGTTTGGCTTACTTCTTTGTTACATCTCGTTCCCTCTCCCTGGGGCCTTCTCCTTCACTGTTTTCTGAAGAAACTGTTGCATCTGAATCTGGAAGAGAAGACAAGGAAAACATAAATCCACCTACTGTTTACAACTCCTGCATTTACGTAGTCATAAACACTCGATACTGTTAAGAACGTTTGGATTACCTGAGGAGTCTTCATCTACCCTCTCGTACTGTAGCAGTCTGTCCAGGAGGAAGCTAGAAAACAAGTGAAGGACATTGTTTAACGTAAACACATTTTCAAGTACACACAATGCGATCTCACCTTCACATTTTGATCACGTTCAAGTTTTTTTCTTGTCTAAAATAAGCCATTTTTGTTTCTTAAGTACATAAAAGAAAGCCCTTGATGTTACACTGGAACCCTGCCCTGTTATAGCAGCCACATTCTGATGTTGTTGCCTTTAGGTTTGCCATAGCTGTTGACATATCAGGTCACATTAGAAACGCTATAACCCCTTCTACCACATCCTTGCTTAATCATTCAATGTATTTTTCTTCAATCAGAAAAGGTGAAAAATTCCGTAACAAGTTAATCTGACCATTTCCAGCCTATAATCTAATTGTTAAATATTTCCTGGACCATACTTGATTCCCTAAGCATCGGTTCTCTGAAGTAAGTACCTTTCAAATTATTCTCATTGTCCTTAAATAAATTATTTTGTGTGAGTCTTTTTTTGGGGGGGTTATTTTATCTGGGCTAAGAGTCCTGAGTGAGGGTTAGAGGAAAGGGTTGCTTTATTTTTTTACGTTTAAACACACCGAAAAGGTGGAAAGTAACATTGGAACACAAATGTGTACAAATACAAAATGTCTAATTCATATAAATATGGCAAAAATGTGCCCTCACCTTTTGTCCCTGGACACTTTGAGAAGTTTCCTCTGTGATCTCCTCAACTCCTCCTGAAAACATTCCTGTTCCTGAAGAAAGGGAATACAAACACGAAATCAATGCAGAAAACGAAACATATATGTATTAATAAAGTACTAAACGTGATTGCTAAAGACTGACTGAACACATATAGATTATCTGTACTTACATAAACAAGGAATTTTAATTTTCGCTTGAGATTTTTGTATTTCCGCTTGTAGTCAACTTCGACGTCCGCTTGACCGTTCATTTCTAAAATAAAGGATGCAAATAATGGATTAATTACTAAACCACCTGCTTACAGTAATATATATAAACTGGAGGTAATTGTAGTAACTCGGACTGCATTACAAACCACATAAGAAGCTACTGTATGCTAAGCTAAACGTTAGCTCACCTAGCTAGCTCGCTAACTAACGGAGCTGCTGTTCTCAGAAGCTGCTGAAAATATACACCAATATTAATTTCAAGTGTGCAAACAAGCTTTCTATTCATTTCAAAGCAATTTTGTTTTATTATTGAAACCCATTGGTACCTCTAGCTTGATTCTGTCTGTGCGACATGCTTTTGTTTACGTTGTGACGTCGTTTTCATCTTCTTCTACGCCTTCGATGGCGGTGTGCAACCATCGATCCGGAGCATTACCGCCACCTGCTGCCTCTCTGAGAGCATAGCCATTAATCAGTTTTCAATGGTTTGTCTGATCAAATCAAATGATGATACTTTTAATATTAAAATCCCTAATTCTAGAGTTTCTGAGACCCTTTGAATAAGTGTCTGGTGATGGTAACATTAAAAAAGCATTACAAAATTTAAAGAAATTAAAAAAATAATAATAATAAAGGAAAATCTAAAAATGTTTGGACAGGTTGAGTCACAAAATATACAATCAATCAATTGACCCCATCCAAATCAGTTTACAGACCTACACCAACACTTTATCAAAGCATTCCTCAAACAAAATCAGTCCTTTAATAACATCACACAATAACAAAAACAGTAAGAGTAACCTTTTGCAGATATGCAATACAGTTTTGATTTATAGAATGTTAAGATTGTTTCAAAATGACCCAAAGTGATAGAGAATATATGTAATTTGCCTCTGTGTATCTTTTGCCAACCTTAACCACCAACCTTATTCCTCCTGCAGCAGCACTTTAGAGATGTGTTGTTCTTCCTGTCCTGTTAGGTTAGCCCAGGAGTTGCTCATTAACCACTTTACCTCTAATATCTAGTGGCACCTTTCCCGCCTGCACCACACAGGGCTGGGAATGGAGTTGACTTCACTGTCTCTGGGCTTGTATCTTATTAAGCTTCTATAACAGAGTTGTTAAAGGGCTGAACCTATACCGCACCAAAATCAAACATGACCTGTTTTTATTTTTCAAATCTGATGTATATAGATGAATACAAATAGAAAAACGTCATAAAACAAAAATAAAATACCTGTAATGCCATTTTCGTGATGGTGTGTCTTTGTATGACAGTTTATGATTCCGAAAATGAATATATATGTATTCCTTTATGTAGAAATAATACGTACATGTTTATTTTTGCATGACATTAAAAAAATTGACATGCTGTAAACATGTGAGTATTAGATGTTAGGATTATATAGTGATGAATCCTATAGTTTGCTTTTGATTAAAGATCTCCTAATTAAACATAAACTCAAAAAATATTAATTAAAGGTGGAGTAGGTAATTCCCTTCAGAAACACTTCTTGTTATATTCCATGGAATGCTCTCAACATCCCGATAGCAATGAATACATGAAATGCTTTGACACGGCCCGGCTAAAATAACTGGATGGCCTACCTGCCTGTCAGCCTTCCATCTGTCTGTGCACACACTTATCTCGTGCCCTCATTGCTCATGTGCGCGTTCGTGTGTGTTGGAGGAGGGGCTCTGTAAGGAAGTTTGAAGGAAGGGGCAGATTTTTTCAGTTGTGTACTTTCAAATTCTAGCGCACTCGAGCTGGTTTCTCCATTCTTACTTATACCTTTAAATTAAAATGTGCATTTACAGCTGCTTTGATGCTCAGTCAGGAGTAGCTTCACATGCCTTCATGACTTCTAGCAGTGGGCCTTAGTACTGTACTTGAGAAAAATTTCAAGGTTATTGTAATTTACTCAAGTATTTTCATGTTAAGCTGTTTAACTAGATATATGTGATTCTCAAATGGTCAATATCATGCACTGAGTCATTTTAAGATTGATATTTTGAGTATAATTTGATGCCAATACTTTTGTATATTTACTAAAGTAAGATTTTGAAATGCAGGACTTTAACTTGTATTTTTACAAATTAGTAATACTACTATTGATTAAGTAAAACAACATGTGAGTCGTTTCTAACCCCCTGGTTTTATTCTCCTGTCAGTGTCCTCTCCCCCTGCCGCATACTGTAGAGCTCTGAGTCTGCAGATCAGAGCAGTGCCAGGACCAGGCGCCATGAATTATAGATTATGAACATTTGCAGAGATGAGCAATTCTGCTTCAGTGCAAACACACACACACACACACACACACACACACACACACACACACACACACACACACACACACACACACACACACACACACACACACACACACACACACACACACACACACACACATGCACACACGCACACACACACACACAGCCAGACCTCCGTGTGTGTCAAGGTTGATGGGGGAGACAGGCAGAGGAACATTTATAAGGAGTTGAGAGAAATGGAGAGATAAAAACAGGATAGGCTTTTGGCTGGGAGGCAGATACTGCTGCAGGGGAACAGAGCAGAAATGCTGACTGTATGAACCTCCCAGACAATACGAACCCCAGCAGGGATAACTGAGCATCCTTTACTGCAACTAAAGCAGGAGCTGTGATGTCTCAGTTTCTGCATCCTCTTCCAGACATTAGTAGAGTCTGCTTGCAAAAATAAACACGTACAGTCTACCTTTCCAGGCCAACCAAAAGAAAGAAAGAGACCTGTCGATATGAAACACAAGATCTGCCCCTCAACACCGACAGAATCTGCTTTGATTCCAAAGACGCTGGCGGACAGAAATAGAATAGACCCTCCTGTGTCTCCAGCCATAAATCGCTGCTGTCGGCTAAAACAGCCAACCTCCTCTCAGCTAAAGTCCTCTGCCCCCCCCCCTCTCCGCACACACCCCTTCAGTCTCTACTCTTAATGGAACCATATCAAGTCAGGCTGTGGACCCTGATCTGTGCTTGTCAATTTATTTTCTCCTGTTCATTTTCTGTAAGATGTATGTCCTGCTCGGTTATATGACTGTTGTTCTAGCATGTGTGTGTGTGTGTGTGTGTGTGTGTGTGTGTGTGTGTGTGTGTGTGTGTGTGTGTGTGTGTGTGTGTGTGTGTGTGTGTGTGTGTGTGTGTGTGTGTTTCCCCCCCTCTTTCTTTTACTCCCTCTCCCTCTCTGTATTGTTTTGTCCTCCAATGTGTCTCTCCCTCTCACTCAGTCCACCTCTAATATTGCACTTTGCTCAATACATTTCTATTTTGTCCAGTTTGCAGTTACTGGAATGAACCAAAATCACTACAAAGGCACCAACAACAACAACTGCAGTAAAAGTCTTCTCAATGATCAAAAGGTAAGCGCCATGTTTCATGGTTTTCAGTTATAGCTGACATGGAAACATTGTCCAACATAATGTGACTGTATTCACTTTCAAACATCGTATTTGTTTGCAGGATATTAAATTAGTAACGTTTCTGTTTCATGTGTACTTTTTCTCCAATTTTGTGTCTGTGTGTGTGTATGTGTGTGTTGCAGGAAAAGCTTATCCAGGCTATTAAAAGAATCAAGCACGAGGTAGATGAATGCAGGGAAGCAGAGAGGGAGACATTTATAGAGTCTCTGGGAGTAGAGGTATTGTTGCTGGATTATTAATCCTCATCTTTGACTAAAATACTCTCTTTAGACGCAGAAGTTTGACTGAAACCACATTTATATATACGGTAGACGGTTAGGGCCACATGTGAAAACATTTTTGAGATCTGACCAAAAGTGACATTTTCTTCTGAATTCTGAGGAAAAAAATATCAGATTTTTGATCACAGAACTTAAAAACAACACTTTTGAGCAGCTCTCAAAACGATGTTAACATGTGTTCCTAATCCTCCTCTGCACATACTGCATATTCTTTACAACTCAAAAACAGAAAAGATTATCCATATCCTCACATTAATCATCTCTAAACTCCTCCTCTTTCAGAACAGTTTTGATGTCCTCAAACGAGAAGTCAGATCCGAGTTTGAGAACCTCCACCGTTTCCTGGATGAGGAGGAATGTAAGGATCTGGAGCGACTTCAAAGAGAGAGACAGAAACAAGTGAAGCAGCTGAAGGAGAGGAAGAAGAAAATAGAAGCGCAAGCGACAGACCTGGAGACAGCGATATCAGTCCTCAACAAAAAACTGACCGAGGAGGACCATCCCAAACTGCTCAGAGTGAGGAAGAGAAGACATCGGCATGCACATATGTGGCTTATTATTAGCTTGAATACTCTGTAACCATTTCGACAGAGGGTTAGCTAATGTAAGATAGAGGTGTAAAATAGTTTGGACTCCCTCCATATGACACTCTGGAAATTCCTTCCCCAGC